CTATGGGTTTCACAACGATGCTGTACGACCTAGGTACACATAGCTAGAGCATTCAGAGATGGTCGTTCCGTTGAGCGTGAATGGGGCATCAGAAACCAATCCGTTTCTCATGAACATCGTCTTCGTTAGATTCAGCCGTAGACCGATTTTTCCACACGCGCAGTCGAATTCAGCATTCGTTCCGCTTGCTCGATGTTTGGTGTTATCAAAACGATGTCGTCAGCAAAGCGGAGATGGTGTAGTTGCCGACCGTCGATCTTCACTCCCATGTCTTCCCATTCCAGTTGACGCATGACGTTCTCGAGGCGCTGAATAGCTTCGGCGGGATGGTCGCCCTGTCGGACCCCTCTCTTCACGTCGATGATACTTCAATGAGCTTCGTTACCGTGTGGATGTGATCGATCGTGCTGAATCCTCTTCGAAACCCTGCTTGCTCGCATGGCTGTCCTTCGTCTAGTGTTTTGTCCAATCCTGTTTGAAAAAATCCAGTCCAGTCCTTATGACTCGTGTGAAGAGTTTGTAGACTACAGACAGCAGGCAGATTGGGCGATAATTGCCAATGTCGTACAGGTCTCCCTTCTTGTACAGCAACACAGTCTTGCTGGTTTTCCACGAGGTGGGTACCTTGCATTCCGACAGGTAGCGCGTGAAGAGTCGAGCCAGAGTTTTGACAAGAACTGGCGGAAGATTCTTCAGATGTTCGGGTCTGATCCTGTCGGGACCGGGTGCCGTACGATTCTTCACCGACGAGATGGCGTGTCGGACTTCGGAAGGGAGAACTGCAGGAACGACATATCCATCCTGCTCCAAGCGGTATGGTTGCAGGTGGACGTGGCTGTCAAAGAGATCCGAGTAGAAGTCGTGGATGACCTTCTCCATTGCCCTTCTGGATGCGGTGATTGTTCCATCCGGACGTCGGAGGGCGGTCATCTTGGTCTTACAGTTGGCGAAGTCGCGGCGAACGTTGCGTATGCTCCTGTTGGCGAACCAGCTCAAGAGGTTCCAGGCGATAGACGCTTCTTGGTAATCTTGGAACTCTTGGCGCAGTCGTGAAGATGTGCGACAAGCCGTTCGTATTCCTCGTCGATGTTGTCGATGGAATCCTCCCAGAGCCCAGCGAGAGAAGTGAAGTGATCCCAGTTGATGACGGTCTTGGGGCTTCGCTTCTTGAACTTTCTCTCTCTCCTCGCATCGAAAAGCGGAATCTCGCGCGAAGGAGACGGTGGTCGGATCCTGTGTAGAACTTAGGAACAACAGCGACATCGGTCAGGCAAAACCTTCGATTGAAGATGATGTGGTCGATCTCGTTATGGAATTGTCCACCAGGAGACTCCCATGTCCAGCGTAGAGAGTAGGGCTTCTGGAACTGCGAGTTACCATGGATGGTATGGGTCGACATGATAAACTCAGCCTTTCACCCTGCTCATTCCACTCTGTTCCGTGAGTTCCGATGTGAAGTTCTTCAGCCGTTCTATGTGTTATGTATGTGCAGTAGCAAAAAGCAAACGACAGCAGTAGAAGAATTCATAGAAAGATTTCTGAAAAACCATTACCGTACTGAAAAGCAGGGGGTGTTGGGGCGTGGCTAGCACCAGTACCTAACCAACCAACTGCCTAACCAACTGCCCGATGCAAGGAATGTGCCCGATTTGATTTATAAAGTGACTGATTTGGTTAGAAAAGTGTCCGTACTGGTTTACAATGCCCTGTTTTGCTCGAAAGGTGTCAATTTAAAACGAAGGTACATGTAATGAAGTCAGCTTCTATGAAGAAGCAGATCACAAAAGTGACCCTGAGCGCAAGAGTATGTCGCGCTAAAAAAATGCAAATCCAATGTGGCCGACTCCCTGGCTTTTCCTTTGGGTAGTGCGCCATGATGCTAGATTTTTTTTCTGCTCAGCTGTCACAAAAATGAGAGCATACGGGGGCCCTCAAAAGTCACTTTTCTTCATTGACTTTCGAGGCGCTATAAGTTACACTTTATTAAATTCTGATCGGACATTTCCACCATATTAAAGAGCATATTAAATAC